TAATATATAAATTTATCACAAAAGTTTAATAAAAGATATTATTTCAATATTAATCAATTTTGATTAATATTAATCAAGCCCAATTAAAATTAATCAGGCTGAAACTAATCTTAAGTTTTATTGAATTTCACATGTTTTATAGTGTAAAAATTTATTTTTTTAAATATTTCTTATCGATATAGGATATATTTATAGTGCAAAACCCTATTCTCTTATGTGTTTTTTATCAATGTGGGATATATTGATTAGAAAAAATTGACAGTTTTTAGTGATAAAATATATTTTTTAGTGATGAATTATTTGGTCATCATTGAATGTGTAAAGTATATGTGAACAAGATTAGAATTTTGTTATAATTGTAATGCATTATAGTGATGATTTTTATTGACAAAAGCTTATTTTATGAATATTTTTTTGATAATGAAATATATTTTTTATGATGAATTTTTTTATTAATCATTAAATATGTATGTAGCTGTGACTAATTTTTAAATCTGTCACAATTGTGATAAATTATAGTGATGATTTCAAAATTCATCACAAATTTCTGTCACTAAAAATCATTTTTCTTGTAGTGCCACCTAATTTGGTGATAGTTGGTCAAGACTTGTTGTCTTTTATTTATTTATTTATTTTTTTAACTTACTGGTTATCTTTTATTAGATCAACAACATAATTGTGTTATGATCTAAGAACCATTACTAAAAACTTTCTCAAATGACCTTGACAAGCTTGTCTGTTATTGTTGTTGCCCGAATGATGGTGTGATGTGCCCTTACATGCTAGAGCTCCAAAGGTAACTCACAAAAGAATCCTGACCTGAATGCCAAAGGTTAAAGAAGAAGGGCCACGTCATTTAATGAAACAGCACATTTCCCTTATTTTGGCATTTAAGTCCTTCAAGTTCTATAAAATGTGTAAGGGTTAAAGCCAATGGTAGTCCTTGTACTTTGTGAAAATGTTCATTACCATCCCTCTACTAAGGAAATGTTCATGTCATCCCTCTACTATCCTTTTTTTTTTTTTTCAATATCATCCTTAATTGGATGTCATCCATTTTGCTATTAACTTTGACCGTTAATTGCTAACGATAAAATATTCAACTTTTGTTTATGAATTTTTCTAAGAGTACATATTAATGATACTTTTTTGTAATAAATTTGTATAAGAAAATATAAAAGTAAACATTAATTTTAGTGTCATTGTCACATAAATAAATTTAATTAGACAATTGATAAATTAAATATTAGTTTTAATCTTTTTAAAGCTTTTAACCGGTATCCTAAAGACTCAAATTAGAATAACCTGAAGACACAAATTAGAATAACCCTTAAGGTACAAATTAGAATAACCCTTTGTTTATTAATTTTTTATCAACCTAGTGAGACTAGTGGGACCAATTTCTTTATTTTTTTTAGTTCTGTATTATTCTTTTTGGCTTTAGCACCTAAATTAACGAAATCTGTTAATTCTCTATTAAAATTGGAATAAAATAGTTATAGGATTAATCCTTAAAAATTAAAAATGTAACAATTTAATTCTAAAAGTTCAAAAATTATAAAAATTAGTAAATTAAAAAGAATTAATAAATGACTTTTTCACATATACTAAAACAATATTAGATATTTATAATCAAATCGAGCAATTAACTTAATTTGGAGAAAGAATTTTGACTGAAATTATAGAAAATTTCTTAACTGAATTAAGATAGAAAATTTAAGAGACCAAAAAAATATAATCAAGAAATTTATAGAAAATTTAAGAGACTAGAAAAATATAATCAAAATTTTTTTTTAATCTTAATTAGATTTTTTTAATTAGATTGAGTTAATCACTCAATCTAATTGTAGATATCTAACATTGTTCTCATATATATGATAAAGTCATTTATTAATTATTTTTAAATTATTAATTTTTTTATTTTTTAAACTTTT